ACACTGCAGAGCCCACTGGGCTACCCACCAAAGTCAGCCTTGCCTTCTACACCTCAGGGCCAAAATTCCCCAAACACTTCAGCGTATCTAGCGGGGAAACAGACTGCAAGTTGATAGTTACTGTTTCTTTGGAGAAGGTACTCGATTGGCTATAAGGGAGGAACACTAAGTCAGGTACTTCAAATATGATCTCTGAAAGGCAGTAAAATAAAAAGAACTATTTGATAAGAAAAAAAAAAAGCAAGATCATCCATGATTTTATTACAAAAACACCCAGCAACTGTATTTAACACAAAAACAGTAACTGAGAGTCTCTTTTTATTTTTCTTTCAGTGTACATGCTCATTATTATTCCACTTAATTTACAGAAGGGCTATGTAAAATGAAATTAAAATTAGAGAGGAAACAAAAAGGAAGGTTGAGGCATAGAATTTTCTTAGCAAGCAACGATCACGGGAGACAGCACAGATTGAACAGGGATTCAACAGGAGTGACACCTAGGGATAAAGGTAAACAGTAACTTTTTCCTTATCCATTAGATTTTCCATGGGGCTTTTTTGTTTGTTTTAGCAAAACAGTTTAGAGTATCACAGTATACAGGAAGACTAAATGGCAAAGAACATCTCACACACACACACACATTTATCCCTGCTACTGGTCCAGGATCCAAAACTTCAGTTAACATTCGATTTCCTATCTCTCATTCATTGATAAACTATACAGGATTACACTGTACATGGAGTTAAAATTACAAAAATGTCGTATTTACAAAAATCTGTACACACATAGTAAAACTCACAAAATTGTCATCTATGTATCACAAGTTGCGACACCAAAATATTAAAAATGGGATAAAATTATACATTTCTCTTGTCCATTTTTAAAAAGGGTTCATTGTTTCAAAGACAGACCACCTATTTCTCCCAAATAAGACTGGTAAGAGAACTAGAAACCTAAAGTATCCTCCTGGGATAAAATGTCGCGAGCAGCATCTCCCAACTGGAAAGAAGCCTCTCCCTGTCTGCTGGGGTGGGGTGTGCAGTTAGCGGGTATGTACAGACGGTGGAACTACAGCGAGGATGTCTTTGGCTAAACCTTTGGCATAAATTAAAACCACACCTCAAAAGTTACAGAAAAGGTTTTCCTGGTGATGGCAGAACTGGGGAGTTTCTGTCTGAGACACCATTATATACAGCTCCTCTTTCTCTAAGGAAATAGAGTAGGAATAAAGGACTTTGCAACAGAGGCAAATGAGGCAACATTATTTCTTTGTTAAATTTTTTTCACTAGTATGAAAAATCGTATCAAATCTTTTCACTAAAACATAATTCAATCGTAGAAATAACTTCTTCCAGAATTTTTTTTTTTTTTTGTAACCGCGTACGAAAAAAATTAGTAAACCAGCCATGAAAGAAAACAATTGTATCAGCATATCAAGTACATATTAGTGCAGGAAGGTGGATAAATCTGATCCACTGTATAAATAAGCTTTATGCGCAGTGTACATTAAATAACCATCACACCCCACTCACACCCAGTACACAGATGCTCCTCAGTGAAGATAAACATTTATCAAGTAATTAAAGTGTATGTAGTGCAAATGTTACAACCAAGTATTATGCACATGCTACTTGCTTGGTTTTAAAGTTACACGAAGATGTGGTGCCTGAAATCATGGACATATATACATCCTTGTCACACTTGGTACAATGTCCTAAGCCACAGAAATACCGAGGTGTTTATATCTATATATATATACACACACGTTTTTCTTAAAATGTGACCACCACATCGATACAGTAACACAAACAGACTAAAATCAATACCTGCTTCCAGATGCTCCAAGGCTCAGAAAGTTTGTGCTTCTAACTCTTGCAGTCAATTATGTGCCCCTCTTCCCTTTCCCCCTTCTGCCAGCTGAGAAGGAGGGACAGTCTCCTCAGGTCTGTGCTGCATAGGATGAGGGCAACGGAGAGGAATAAACGACGGCACAGGCACCTAAGCTGCTTTCCTCCATCAACAGTTCCACGCCCCACCATGAAGGGTTGAGAGAATTCCCTCTCCACACCGCTCCTGGGTGGAAAGGCTTATTGAAAACAAAAAAAAAAAATCATAACGTGCTTTCCATATTATAAGTGGCAGCAAATCAAGGCACGCTGTACTAATTGTGTAGCATTGAGATTAGCTGGCTCTGCAGGGGAGGCTCACTGGGGAAGGTCCGACGTCCTCAACTGGCTGCTGGGCCGCGTGGGGCCGTACAGGGTAACAGAAGCTATGTGATTATTCTGCATCACCTGCAAAGGCACAGCAGGACAAGGGGGAGGTCAGGACAGCTGGTACACTGAACAGAAACCCAGAAGTACGAAAATGGTGAGTACGGAACTGATCCGCCCGAAAAAGAAACCCCAACGACAAAAAGCGAGCGCTCGGCTGGCTCCTGAAAACGGCCTCCAGATTTCTAGGACACATCTGAACACCAGCATGTTCCACCACTGCTCAGAGACACCTACATGTATCTCACAGCCATGTACATGTATCTCCTACTAGCACCAACTCCAGGTGACAAAGTCCCAGCTATAACACGTACAACCTCAGAGGAGAGCTTGGAAAGTTTCCTCTTTCCGCCAGTAGGCACTAAAAATACAGCCACTCCCAAGCACTGGCTGTTGTCACCATGGGGAGGAGGAGGCCACTCATAATAATAGCAAACTCTTCGCTTTCCCGTGCTCAGACAAAAATAAAGGGGTTTTTTCCTAACCTCAAAGATCATTCGCTGCAGTCCAAAGCAAAACGTTGACCCAAACGGGTTAGTGTTGTTCGGAGATGATGACCTGAACAGAAAAGAGGAGAAACAGAATTTAAAACTGGATGTGTGAGGGTCAGGAACCCCTTAGGGAAGAATAACTACTCAGTCATATGAGGTAAATGACAACATCTTTATCATGGCTTTCATCAAAAGGAAGTAAATGCACATTACACCACTGCTGGACTCCAAGTGAGCCAGAGGACAGCTCCGCCTGATGGCAGAGCCATCATTACTGCTCAGGAGAAAGTAATCCAAAAGCTACTAGTGACCTCTACAGGAAAACTCTCTTGCACTTAACTTGAACAGGAAGAACCCTAAAAACAAACAGACACACAGGAAGAGAGAAGCACCATGTAACTTACTACACGTATTTTTTGTGCAAGGTCCTTCCCTTTGTGCCTCAGCCCCCAACATACGTATTTACCATATACGGTCTATTTATATTTACTGTGTATTGTCTATTAATCCATGGGTTTGAGCATGAAAAAAAAGATTACCCTGTAAGATGCTGAAATAGAAGTTTTACTAAACAGTATTTTTCAAGATCTATGGATCACTTGTCTTTCAGCTATTTCTGATATTTCTGGATCATATATTGACAATGGCAGATTTCTGCTGACTGCAATCAATTTTAGATTACAGCCAAAAAAAAAAAAAAAAAACCCTAGAAAATATTTACCTTCTGTCCCTTCTTGTAAACTGGTCAGTTTTTCAAACTGCATTCTGAGTCATTTGAGATGGGCTCAGTAAAGCACTCTCTGGTTGAACTACTCTCTACAACACAGATGGAAAAACTAGAAAGGCTCTGTGTCATCCCTGACACAGCTTCTGCTCTAATCAGCTCACTGGCATAAGACAGGAGTCAAGGGGAACAAAGAGCACAATGATTAAGGGAGAAAAAAAAAAAATCAAACCCATGAGAAAGTCAGATGAAAACACATTGCTTGGTTTATTTGAAACTGCTGCAGCATTTTCACAGCACCCATTGCTTACGCTTGGCCTGAGACAAAAATCATGGTTTCATAAGTTTTATAAGTCTGCAAACAGAAATGCCCATTTAACCCAATATCCAGCTCAGTTTCTGCAGAAACAGAGCAAATTTAAGGATTACTGTATTATCAGGCAGCCTAAAATAACTGTGGAACAACCATGTATGTTGTTCCTAAAAGCAAAGCTTCTTCAGACAGACTGGTATCATATACACTATCATGTCCACATATACTGTGCTGTATAATATATTGTTGAGATGTATAGAAAAAGTAAAAAAACTCTGCACTATTTATTACTCATAAAGGAGAGACTGTTTTACATGTTGCTTAGCTCTTCTCTGCATTTAGTAGTTCACAGGAACTTTGGAAATGCTTTCATTCAGCATGTCAGGTTATTTCCTCTGAAGGCAGATATCTAGTCTTGGGAGTGGCTAAAAAAGCCTGAATCTTTAACCAGCAAAGCAATGCAGAAGTAACTAATGCAATAAACACCATTCCTCATCCTCTGTTATCAGCTCAATCCCTGCTAAGCAAAATAAAGAGAGATTTTTACCTGTGAAGTACCACTGGCTTCTCTACAGGGTGCCCCAGTAGATCCTGAATACTGTCCCACTGTAAATACATCAAGAACTTTGTGTTAAATTGAGGCACAGCAAAACTCTTCTTTTTATGTAGCAAGAGCATTGTGTACATTTGTTTGTGACGTGCTCATTTGCCAAATAACCTCAAGGTTGTATTTACAGAAGTCATTTGTGACTGGAGCCATATTCAGTAATGAACTATGCATTACTAAGGCTAGGAATTTCTCTCAGGGTATTTCTCATTATTGTCTAAAAATAGCCTGGAATTAGAATTATTATCATACAAAAAATTCTATGGGTCTTAAAGGTAAAATGCAGCTCAACAACAGCATTCCAGGAGCAGCTCAGAGGACAGAGCAGCTGTGGGAAACTTTAAAAAAATATCCTCTTACACACCTTCACAGAAGGGAAAAATAGCCCTGTTACTACCTCACCCAGAAGTCTTTCCTTGATTTAATAACAAGACTGAAGAAGAAGGCTGCACTGCTTAGGAACTGGCAATGTCCAGCAGTTCCCCTCACTCCAACCAGACTCGAAGCAGCTGCAGTTTCACACACAAGACTGAAATAAGTCCCAGCACTCTGCAGGGTGTAGGAGATCACACCAAAAAGCACAGAATGGCAGCTTCCTGGTTGCTGACTCCAATTTTATTTCCCAGTATGGGACCCAAAATGCACCAAGGAAAGCCTTCATTTGGCACCCCAGGAGCCAAGAGAGCAGCACTGACCTTGGCTGAGCATCAACTGCAGAGACACAGCTGAACACAGATTTTGAGAAGCTTTTCAACTTAATGCAGCTCTCAAATATGCAGCAGCAACTGCCCAGCTGGGGATTTCATTTGGGTGGTGAGGCTAAACAGTCTTCAAGGAGTCTGCTGGCATCAGGAGGTGTCACACTGGCAGTGACATTTCTGTCACTGCTGCCTGAGGAACATCTCATTACTGGCAGCCTTCAGAAGAAAGTGGAAGGGCACTGGACTGTCTTGTTAACACTACATGTCTTCAAGAGCTCTCTTTAGTAGAACAGCTCTGAAAATTTTGTTTACAGACAGGTCTTCCAGCCAACATTCAGCCACTGCTGCTGTCGTTTCCCATTCACTTACTCTACTGTTCTATTTCTACCTGCAGCTCTGTTAAAATGCAAGCCATGCCACAATGCAGTAATTTGCTTTACTTGAAGAGTGCAATGTCTTCAATCCCTAACACATCAAAATATTTAAATCCCAAAACATACTCTAACTTCTGGCCTTCAGCTATTCCATTTTAAAACAACGTGATACCGCTGCTATGATTTCTGAAGTGTATTGTAAATCTGGCACAGATCATTTACATGGTTTCAGAAAATAAGGAAAACACTCAGTTCTGCAGAGACTTACCTTGCTGTATGTTGTACATGTTTCTGTCTGTGAGTCAGCACTATCTGTTGAAGAGAAAAAAAAAAAAGCCTTTATAGCTTGTGCTTGAAGAGTCCCCTATATAGTCCTTTATTTTGAGATGTTAGTTCAGGTAGGAGGAGACATATGAGCCTTAAATCAATGAATATACCAATTTATCAGCAAACAGAATTGTCAGTAACACTGATTAAATGCCAGTTAAGGTGATTACACAAACCTGCCTATTTACAGCAAGTTCCCAGATCTAAGATTCCAGCTGTGTAAGCTGTAACTCACATGCAGAGCACCACTGGAAAATAAACTACATCTCTAGGCCAGGAACAGCCTCCTGTCGAGGTGACGTGGCGTGTCACCCATGAAGTCCAGAACACTCCACTTGGGAAGGAGGCTGGCTAACACTGGTACCTTGAGGGTCAGGAGCTGGCAGGCCTGAAATCAGCTCAAACACCACTCTTTCAAAACAAGGATGGCAGAGAGCTTGGGAATTGCAGTCTGCCTAATGAAAAAAGCTGCAGGTAGGGACAGTGGCGCATTTACACTTACAGCCTTAAAAAGAAAGCGTTTGCTGGTGCTTTCAAGCACTTTCAGACACATATTCGAGTACTCCTAAATACTGAAAGCACGTTCCCACATACTAAATGAGTTGAACATTGCTTTTGATCAAGTTAAAGACCATTTGCTTCTCTTATTTTCCCCCTGCTAAATAAACATTCTCCCTGTGCTGAATTCAGTGTCTGTGCAACTTGAACTCTGGCTCTCAATTTATCGTCTGATGCTGAACTACAAAAGGGAGTTAATAAAACTGCATCAGGCACTGCCACCAGAGGGAAGAAGTTGGGCTTTTCTAAAAGGTTATAACATCTGTTTACAACTTGCTACATGTCCTGAACATAAGCTGGAGACCAGAAAGGCGAGTTAAAAATGCCAAACAAACAAAAAACCAGACACATTCAGAAGAAATTCATGATGCTACTTGAGGTGAATGACATTAATCAGGAACGAATGCTTTGAAGTACTGTACAATAACCTAAGGCAAAATAATTTAAAAAGGGAGAACTTTCATGCTTATTCTCTTGGCTGAAGTACAAATCAACTTTCATATAAAGCTTGTACACACAGACATTGTTTTTTCAGGTTTTTAATCCTCCATATGCTCAAACTGCTGTGACAGCCACAGGAGAGCTGCACGTCACACAGGGAAGTGCTTTCAGGGAAAAACCAATCAGAACAAAGAAAGCATCCCTGGCCAAAACCCAGCCAGCATGTGGTATTCCCAGGATAATCAACACACATACCTTCCCAGGACACCTTTATTCTTACATTAAAGAAGTCAACTTCAATCACTGTGATCTTCAAACAGGGCTCCCCTGCTTTGCTGAGATCAGTTACATGCACAGAGCTGGGGACATCTCGGTACCTTGCCAAAGGTGCTAATATAATCACCTAGTGATTATATATGTATCTTTTCAAGTAGAGACTTCCAGGTGAACAACAACAGCTATATTTTGTTTACAGCACGCAAAGCCAACTTATTCTGGATGTTTATTCTCATTCCCAGCTAAACCAGTTTATATTAAACATCACAAATAAGCCTTTCAAGAGCAAGCCAGCACTGGATCAGTGGACTGGACAGATGAGCTCAGACTAACATCTCCTTACAGATTTTGAGCCTGCAGGTACAAGGTAAATGATTTTGGCTGAGAGGCAGCATTACAGGAAATTAGTGATGTTGCAGCTAAGTATTTGTGTGATCCCAATAAGTTAACAGGGTAGTGTAAGTTAAATCAGAGAACTGCTAACTTGCCCTGAAGTAGCTTTTCCACTTAAATAGAAACCTAGTCCCAAAATTTCTCCTCTGCCTCAATGACTGATCATCCCTCCCCCTGGAGCATTGTGTGGTCCGTGCCCCTGAGGCAGGGCAGGAGGGGAAACACTCACCTCGCTTAATGACGAGGGGAATCTTGAATTCACAGCGATGGTAGCTGCAAAGGGCAAACAGTAAAGATATTAGAAACACAGAATTATAAACTAATATAAACTGCACAGCCACAGACTCAGGGCTCTTCATAACCCACTTAATAACTCGCTTCATGAAGAGTCACAGGAATAATAAAATGGAAGTGAGAATCTATGATAGCAGATTAAGTTCTCACTTAGATCTTCTACATCAAAAAACACAGCAGCCTAGGAATGTCCTGACACAATTTGCTAGAGGACACAAGAAGCCCTTTAGCACAAATTACTCTGCTGTTACACAGAGTGGATGGGGAAATATTTAGCTTAGAAGCGGCACTATAGATTTCTCTGTCACTAACTGCTTTAATCAGACATCACTTATTCTTTGACTCGTACCCCTCTTCTAAAGAGTTTACATTTAACAAGTATTGAAAACATCTTCAGAAGCATGAGAGAATTTTTTTAATCACTGACTGAAATAATGTTATGAAAAAACCCAGCAACATACCTACCTGCTAAAATGAAGTTTGCCTCTAGCAAGAGTTGGCCCATTATAGCTGGACCAAGAACTACCTCACCTCATTCACTACTTTGAGACACACTTGACAAAGGCATTCAAGAGTAACAAGAAAATATTAATAAAAAATGTTACTAATGATGTCTGAAACCCCCACAGGTTACTGGATACACCAAAGACACTTAGGAAAAAAGACTGGAATTTTAAAAAGGGAACATTAAGACTACGTTAAAACATCCGAAAGGGAAATCTTAACGAGACCAATTCTGCACACTCACATGTTAAAGTTGTAATGACCAGGATAATTTGTATGCAGGACAAATTTCTTCACCTTGTGAGTGTTTGCATCAAAGAGAATATCCTGTTGAAGACAAAAAAAAAAAGACAGGTGAAGCAATGTGGATAAAGGAAGCTGGCCTTCCCCAAACCAACCTGAGATTAGTTATAATAGTATCAGTATAGAGTAATATCTATCTATCCCACTGGAACCGAAGGCAACTATGAAAAGTAGAATTTGACAATAAAACTATTTGTAAATGCAAATAACATACATCTCCTCCAGCACTCAAACACAACTGCAGCTTCATTTGCTGATGCTGGCAAGTTTTCTAAGGAGGTCTTGTTTTTCTGCACAGTATTTAGAGGAACAGAGACCAAAGCAAAGCAGCTGTAAGGAGGGACATGAAGATTGAACTACATCCCACAGCTCAGCAAGCTCTCACACGTGATGTTGTGGCACACCTGTCTCAGGTCTGTGGGATAAGGCCATGGATCTCAAAGCAGGACTAGTATACTTATGCACCAGGCACAGCAGAAAAAGGAGAAAACCTAAGAGGATACAAAAGTGCAAAGAGCCCTCCATCCACTGGTGGAGATAAAACATTCCTGATGAAATCTGTGTTAGTGTAGCTTTTCATGTCAAGACATTCCTAAGGCAGCAATCAGGAATTTTGCAGTCTCTCACTTCCCACAGCCTTTAGCCTCCTGAGAGGATTGCTGTATAACTAAATCAAAACTTTATATGAATTGTTTAGGGAAACTTCCCACTCACCACTCCAAGGGTGAAGTAATTGAAGAAGTAGTCATTGCACTTTGATGGGACCTGCTTATGGGGCGAGGGCGAATGGATTTTCATCTGCAAGAAACACATTTTTCAGACACATTCGATAACACTCCGAGATGAATATCACTAACAACATCACTACATTTAAACAAACTGCCACAATGTCATCTGAAGCCCTTGTTCAAACATGTAAGAGACTGTGCCTCATGACAGGATCATCACCTGCTTGCAGCAGCACAGTGACACATCATCTTATTCAGTTACCTGAATGAAAAGGTTTGCTCTGTGTAAAAACATCAGGAAAGGATAAGAGTATGTGCTGAAGTTCCTGTACACAGACTGTAACTGAGGAAATAGGCAGCACACACTTGCTAAGGCACGTTTGGATTCAAAAGTGCTCCCATTTCTATTAATTCTTAAACCAGTTAAAATGATGCAATTAGACTTTTTTTTTTTTTAATTTAAACAGATTGGCACCAATTCAGCTTTAAAAAAAGCTTTTTAAAACCTATTATATATTGATTCATGCTGGCCTACCATGTCAAGTGAAGCACTCATGATTTGTGCTACATGGTGGTTTATCTTCACGGACCTGGCAAAACACAAGCCCTGTGATGGGACTGAGACACCACTGAGCAAAGCCCTGGGCCTGAATGAATTCCCTCACCTTGTCTTCGGACTTGTAGAAGACTTTGTGTGGAGAGCCCAAGGTGCTGAGCACGTCCTGGCACGAGTCACCGAAGAACACGCAGCGCTCGAATACCCGCATCTTGGCATCGGCGAGGACTCCTGGGCCACAGCCTGGGGAGGGCAGAACAGCTCACAGGGCACCCTCCTCACCGCACAGGGCACCCTCCTCACCTCACAGGGCACCCTCCTCACTGCACAGTGCACCTTCCTCATCGCACAGCGCACCCTCCTCATCGCACAGCGCACCCTCCTCACCTCACAGGGCACCCTCCTCACCACCCAGGGCACCCTCCTCACCTCACAGGGCACCCTCCTCACCACCCAGTACCTTTTTTTTCAAAATACTGTCAAGTCTCAAGTAATGGTGACTGAACCAGATCCTTTGCAGCTCTCATATCTTTCCCTAATTTCTAAGCACCCTCCCATCTCTGACAGCACATACAAGGAGGACTCATCAGCTGCTGTCACTGTCACCACTGTCTCCTACAGCAAATAAAACACAATTGTCAGTGCAGCTTAAGGCTGGAGCACTGATGCAGTCACTTGCTGGCATTTTTAAAAGCCTTCCAGATTTAATCACGAAAATATCACCACCATACAGATCCCTGGATCTCACAGAAGATGTACACATACACAAGGTTTCTGGATTTCTTGTGTGTGTTTTCAGTGATGTACTGAAAGCGGGGATGTGTTTTATTCTACACACACATCTGGAGACAAATTCAATTTCTGCAAACAGACTCTTAGGAGTTGGGACATCTGAGCACAGGACTACAGTTCTATGATTTCTCCAGGGCCAGGAGAATGGGGCAGCAGGCAGATTCACCTTCACAAGGGTTTTACTGGTTTTGTTTCCAGCAGTTCAAAATAACATAAACAGAACACTTTGAAATCACCTACAGAATCATGACAAATAACCCACGCTAATTTCTACAGGTCTGCCCCTCTTTCCCTGAGGAAAGCAGCCAGTTCAGCGTTGGGAGTGTCTCCAGTACCTGCAGTGAGCAGGCGAAGCCGCAGACCTGAGGGTCCAGTTCCATCTCGCAGGACATCGACGTTCTCGGCGTACACATTCCCGAGGAAACAGCTGAGAGGCATCAAGGGAGCCCTGAAACCAACCAGACAAACGTGCACGAGATTCACTTCATCTGCAAACTATCCAGTAACAAGCTGGTGCCAGTTCACTGGAACAGAGCACAGTAATTTGGACAAAGCTGCATTTAACTGAGATTAAAGATGAAAAGTTACATTGAACAGAAGGATCAGAAAGTCTGGGGAAAAAAGAAGAGGAACAAGACAGTACTCAAATGTAGGATCTTTACTATTAATGGAACAAACAGCAAAAGCTTCTCCATGATGCTCTCTCAGTCTTGGGAAGGTACTTCCTAGCCCAGAACATGAAATCAGTTTCTACAGCTACACCAAATGCAATTGTGCTGCTTTACTGGCCAAGTTCTCAATTTAATTCAACAACAACATTATTTTAGAAAACAGGAATAGCCCCAAGTAAGATATTTTCAATGGAAAGGCTGTTTTTCTGGGTATTAGTTTGCACCTGCTCCTTAAAATTCACTGTTCTTATGCATATTCCTCCTCCAGGTGAATGATCTGAGCTCCACGTCTGGCTTGGAGCTCCCTACACACACACACAGCAGAGCCCCATGTGACAATCAGGGCTTTCACTAGAGCCCACCATGTCACAGGTGGGTACAGACAACAGCATTTTCCTGAAGTGCACTTATTTCTAATTAGGAGACAATGTGCACAAACAAGGTTCCCCTCCTGAGCAGCACTCCCAGGATGTGTTTCTCTTCTGGCATTAAAACTCAACTGTCTTTGCAAAAACTACCACCTTCTCACTTTGGATATTTATAAGCCAAAAGGAAGAATTTACAGAAGTGCCTTCAATTTTTCCCTGAGCAAGGAAACAACGTTTTTAGAAAGAACAAAACACCAGATGTTGTACAGTAAGGCACTGCTTTAAAAAAAAAAAAGGCAGAATATAATACCACAGAAAACATTAACCATAGCAAAATATAACTCCTCTGTTAGTATTAAGGCATGAAGGTTGGTTTTCTCAGAATCCTAGAATGGCTGGGTTGGAAGGGACCCCAAAGTTCCAGCCCCTCTGCCACGGGCAGGGACACTTTCCACTAGGCCATGCTGCTCAAACACCCACCCAGCTGGCCTTGAAGACAGCAAGCTCAGACACACATCTGCAAATGCACTGAACAGATGCATGTGGCATTTTATTATCTTTGTATAGCAAGAGTTTAAGACCCTTGTAGGACCCTGGCATGACACACACAGTACCAATACACTACAACTTCCTGACTGCCTACTGCGAGTTGGATTTGCTTAGGGAGAGGTCATCGACAAAACAAAAAACTAGACTAAAAATAGCCTAACCACATGTCTTACTTGATTCATTATGGTTCCTGCTTTATTTAACTAATTCATTTTCAGGCCAACTGAACTTGCCTACTACAGCTGAACCAAGGTGATTTTACAGCCACATAAATCAAATCAACATGTGAATAAGGTCTGAGGACACCACCTATGGAAATTTGAAAGAGGTTGGTATCTAAAGGCATTCTGCACATTACCAAACTCATAAAAGACCCAAAGTGAGCTAAAAAGAAAAAGATCTGATTATATTTAGCAATTGCAAGACAGTAAATAAATGATCAAAAGAGCAGGCCCAGCTGTACATACTTGGTATCCTGCAGACTGTTTCCGTTGTAGATGTACATACGTTTCACAGTCGCACCATGTGGAATCTGCAGAGAGGCCAGGCCATGGGCAAAGTTGGGCTGTGGAAACACAAAGTCATTCTTGTTACACAACACTTCAGCTCCAAGTCAGAAGCTACCTGAGAAATACAGTCCGTGCTTACCAATTCAAGTGAGTCTCTGGCCAAAGACAAGGCAGGGAAAACAACAAACAACACCAGCCTTCCAGATGGTGTTTCTCCACATCACACCAGCCCTGGATTCCCAAGCTGGGGTGAAACACTAGGTTTATCCATCAAAAGATGGCACTGGTCTGACAATTAGCCATGGTATGCACTGAGAACTTCAGTGTTTCCCTGGGTTGATCACTGGCACCAGCACGATCAAGGTGTTTGTACCGACATGCTGTGTCTGAGGTCTAAGAAATCATCTGTCTGAATGCAAAACTTCTTTTTTTCTCTCCCACTGCACTAATTTCAGCCTTCTCACATTTTTGCTGGTTTGCAAAATGCCTTTATCTGATGAATGGAAACTTGTTCATTAAAGAGATTTTCTGCTCTCCTCATCACTGCACTCTCACACGTACTGCTCTGACAGGGATTTTGGGTGCTCTCAGCAAAGGGAAAGGGTGCTAAGGAAGTCAGGCTGACTCTTGCCACACTAGAAGAACGAACTTCTTTCAGCTCTGAAGATGACAGGACCTTCTTCAAAACTGACCATGTACTTTGCTGTCATCAGACAGAAAAAACTCCAACTTTGTCACAAAACCAAGATGCACAATATGCAAACTATTACCTGGTCTACTTTAGCAGGACATCACATAAGGTGGACACAAAAATTCTTCTTAGGAAAAAAAATGAACCTAGAGCAAATGCCTTTTACTGCTGTAGGCATTTCAAAGGAACCCTGCACTACTTAGCTGATGTAGAGATGCCAAAGTCTTCTTCAGAGTTTGTTCATCTCCACAGCAGAGATTACAGTGCTTTGACAGTAGTTCACATCCATATATGATTGTCCCAGAACATGACAGATTTTGACATATTCAAATTTGAATTCACTCTGCAGTCTTTCTCAATGTTCCTCCCTAAAAAGCTCCACAAATAATCATCTTCCCTGTGGACTGTTTCATACTACTATTTGCTAAGCAATCCTACTTCTACCTCTTTATATTCCTGGGAAGACTTTGGCCTTTCACTCTGTGTGAACATTTTACCACCTCACTAGAACAACTGAAAGACTTCGAGAGTGAAAAATCATTTTCTCACTGTTCTAGCAGTTTTATTTTAACATCTTTCACTTTTAGGTAGTCCTGCAAGGAGTAGTGAGTTGGACTCAAAGATCCCTACAGGTCCCTTCCAGCTTGAGATGTTTTGTTGTTTTTTCAAATCTCTGGTATAACAATTGACTTTTTCAGTGGCTTGGCCATTTCATTCATCAAAGCCCTGGGAACTCCTGCATGCAAAGCAACTACTCTTTGTTGGGCCATGCTTTTTGTCTGGCTTAGATGGTTTCTATTTACTGACCAATATTTATGAAACCCAACTGACCTTCATTGCCGCTAAATAATAACTTCCCTGGCTCCCCCCTGTTTTCTCACAGGCCAACCACAACCACTAAAGTATCAGGCTGCGACATAAAACATGTGTCATCATGCTGGTTATTTCTTCCCCTTTGTTTTGGCTCTTCAGATGCTCCTTTATTTTTAACTGATAAGCCTAGATTATACAACTCATTCTCACACCAAACAAGTTAAACATACATTTACCACAGAGGACTTGATCTTGTTTCTGCTTTAGACAGTGATTCCCAAAGATTTCAGAGAACACAGTAATGTGTTCAATTATTCAGTAACTCGTCCAAACATTTGGTGAATATGCAAACAGGCATTACAAATAAAGCTCATTCGGTTGGCTTGCTAAAAGCACTGGCATGGAAGGACACTTAAGATGAAAATGTATTTTATGAACCCCATCCTACTTTAGTTGCATAACCACTTTGATGAGACTCAAAAATATCTGATAAAAGAACAGCCTCCCAGCGGATTGCTTAATATTTATGTATTTGCATAGACAGCACTCATATTTTTAGAAGGCTCCTTTCAACAACAGAATTGCTGGTCCCAGTTCATGATGCAAGCCAAGCCTCCAAGCATGTGCCTTCTGCTAACAGGAAGCAAGTTTTTAACTGTGAAATGGTTACACAGCATGAATAAGAGCACAACTGAGGAGTTAAATTCCTTTCAAATGACTGGTTTCTTTTGCTTGCAAAAGGCAGTGAGACACATTGTAGGTGATACTTTGCAAGTAGCATAAAGGCAAAAAGACCATCCACTAACTAAGAACAATTGCTGACCTCGTACTTCGGAGTTTCAGTCCAGGAGTCCAACTGAAAAGAAAATGACAGTCCTCTGAAATTGAGGTGAAAGAGCTGCTCAGCTGAGTTATACACTAAAAGGGAAAAGAAAGTAAAAGCAGAGTTACCAAAATAATCTGACAATATTCCAGTTCACGTGTAACAGCTCCTTCATTACCTCAGTGAATTTGCCACATCTCAAAATGCAGGAACACAATTACACAGGACAATAACAGTTTTACATTTAATTTGTTGCAGTAAAAACACAGCAATAAGAGAAACCACGGCTTCATTACAGCTGCCTCCACAAGCCTGCAGGCACTCACCTATCCCTAACGACACAATTACACAATATGACACAATCAGTTATCCCTCAATATCTCTAAAGTAAACAGCCACCATTAGCACAGAACAATTCTGTCCATTGTTATGTAAATCACTGTACAGTAGTAACCAGGAAGTCTTTCAGACAGATGTGCACAGAACACTGACAAATCCCCTGTTTCACACCACCCAGTGACCTGCACTGGCACCTCTGCTCAGAGAGGAGCTGCCCTGCCCGGGTCAGCTGAGTTTCCTGGCTCAGACCAGCACACGGAGGAAATGCTTCCCACACAGCAGCCTTTACAACAGCCATCACAAATAACATCACAGAGCCAACAGCCCACTGGGCAGCTCCCCCAGACAGCACCAGTGAACCAGAGCATGCCCAGCCTTCCAGCAGCCATCACGTCACGAGATGTCCTGATTCACCGCAATCAATTGCACAACATCAACTATAAACAACAATAAATGTCATCCCAGTACTTGGACTCTGACAAGACACGCTGTTTGCTGAGACTGTGGAAAGAGATTAAAAAATAATCCCAGAAGACTGGGAGCTTGGGAGCTGTTCTGGGATTGGTGCTACAAACTCTAACCTGTGCCCGGTAGCTGCCAGGGGAACAGAGTGTTCCTCTAACACACAGGAGCTGACAGCTTGAAAACAGCAGAGGCTACAAACAATACAGGAACCCTCTAACAGGAGAGGCTGCTTTCTTCCACTTTACCAAAGGACGTTGGTTCAACAGTCCCTTTTTTCATACAGTTTCATATTTAGGATGACATAGCATAGAGACAAAATGCATATAAATAGATACTTTATTCCCTCCCTCCCAAAGCATCTTTCAAATGTTCAACTTGAGAGACATATTACAAGGTATCTGGACAATGCCAGGCCACCCACGATAGGAAAATAATAGTTGAAAAATAAGCATTAAGCTTTCAAAAGTCATCATTTGCCTTTCCTGCAGAACGTGCTGGTTAAGAGTCCCATGCTTGTCAGTCAAAGGAAAACGTGTGGGGAGAGGGAAGTGTTTTGATCGGCAGGAAAATTACACAAATCTCTCTCATGTGATAAATTATGATACATCTTTTCCAAAGCCCACAGCCAGCTGGAGAACTGTTTTTCCCCTAGTCATGCCAAGTGTGATATCTGATTATACAAATCGCACCAGTTCCCATCCCCACATTTGCTGATGCTTAGGCTTAAAGGGCAAGGAATGCTTTTATTCTTGGGAAGTCCTCTCATATCTCCCTCGAAACCATGGGTCACAACCACAAGGTAAAGGGGTTTTTTTAATTATTTTTCCTTTTTTTGATTTATTTATTTATCAATCACAGAGGTACCTGCAGAATAACTCCATTCAAAAGTGCTGACAGAAGCAAGACAACTGCTCTGCTGCTGCCCTCCGGCTGGGCAAGGCAGGGGTCTGCCCTCCAGGAAGGCAGCAGGGTGGGAGCAGCTGGGAAATGTTTCTGGGGAGCAGGAGGGGACAGAGCCACCAACAGCACTAAGGCTGCAGAACAGCTTTTACAGTTCTAGTAAAAGCAGAGGCAGATCCAGGGATGGGCTTTGCATTCTACCCCATGGCTTCAGCTCACCCCCCAGCCCCGACCCACGCTGAGTGGCACTCTGGCCAACTGCCACGTCCACCGGGATCCGGGACAGGATGTGATTTCAACAGAACCACTGGCAAAAGCAAGCCCTTCCCAGCAGGAGGGCAGGTCAGAATCATGGAAACGTGGGATCAAAATCTTGGCTTTCAGGGAGGTGTTGACCAACAAAGCGGTCATATTTCAGTAAGCCCCATGACAAAGGTAGTGCAATGTTTCAAACTAACATTAGCCAAAAAAAGTCACAAAGCTGTTTTTTTATGACTCTTCTCTTGTAAAACCACTGATCTGGCAAAACCAAACCTGCTCACTGAAGGTTGGTTTCAACACAAAACTGTTGCTAACATTTTGAAATATATTTTGAAACTAGCACTGTATCCTGTTGCAGGAAAGTTCTGCTGCAAAAACCTTGGTTTTAAGTGAGAGACATTTCGTGTGAAATTCTAGTGGAGGTGAACATAGAGATGAACAACAGAATACTTTCCAAGTGCCTCCATTGGAGTTTTGGAGGAGTATTAGTACAGAGAAGAAAAGGGATGGTCATGTCCCTTTCATTCATCAAAACCAGCACATTAAGAGGAAGGTTTGTCCTCCCACCCCAGCCCCAATTTTTGTGGGACATGAAAACACTATCACCATCCACCCCACAGTCTGAGAACTTTTCCATTTTTTTTTTGCCTTTTCTATTTTGGAAAACACAAATAAAAAAAAAGTTATCAAAGACTTGTGTTGCATAATATTGTTCAAGCTGTTTATGACAGGCAGCTTTATATAGAGCATTTACTTCTGCTAAGTAGGTTGTTAATGGAAGAAGTATCTTTCCAATGAGGAAGCTGAATAAGCAAATGCACTACTGAAATGGTACCAGAGGCCAACGTTTTAATAAATAAATGTTCATATCTTCATTAGATGAAAAGATGTTATGAAAAACTACCATCAGGTGAAGCAAGCGTGCAAGTTCTCATAATTAAACATGACAGGTGCACAGGTCTGCAAATTCAGCACAAAGACATGGGGTGCCAAACTATGTTTTTGAGTGCTTGCATACACTTTTAGGCAGTAATAAAACAACAAGCTATTACTACCATAAGCAATGCTTACAGCTGGGTATGTATTTTTACAGTTCACAATATCACAGTTTTGAAAGCGCTTCACCTCTAAATATTTGCAAATGAGCCATCATCAAATAGCAAGTAAAAATTATGAGCTGTGCCAAGATATGGAACCACTTTTATACTTCTTAAACTCTACAGTCTCTTGTACACAATATTTCCATAACAGATCTAAGCACAGATCTCAATTTCTGCCCAAGAGGAAATGTTAAGGTCATGACCAAAGTTTAAAAGGCTAATTCTGATCCTTGGAGTATTATGGCTAGAAATCCTCCAAGCTTCATTTCCCTCAGTCTGATATTCCTGTACTGGTGCAGGCTTTTATGCAATGATGCTGCTTCAGCCACATGACCCTCCCCAGTTAATAAACCCTGCTCTGTCATGTGCAAGAGGCTGTCTGCAGACAACAGAGACAAAGACTGGATGTGCAAGCACCATCCATCACAAAGAACACTCGCCTGGTTGGGATCAGCCTGACTGCTGCAAATGGACTGGCTTCAGCTAAAAATAGAGAATGAGCCTCTAAAAACGGTATCTTGCCTATATGGAGCTGATGTTCTCTCTTGTTGTGCCACGGGGCTCCATTTCTTGAAGGTTCCTGGGCAATTATAAATATCCTCCTCAAAGTTTCACCACTGCCTTATTCTCATCACAAACCCCTAACAAAGCCCTCACATACACTCTCCATTTTTGCATATAAACAAGGAATTTAAAGAAAGCCTTTTTCCTGCTCCAGAGATGGTGAACAGCCAAGCAGCAGTGCAGGAGTCAGAGCTGGTTCAGCCAGGTTAAACAAACGTGTCCTGGCTCTGCTCGTGCTCACAGACACTGAGCTCACACCGCCAGTGCTCCCAGGAACAGGAGGGAGGATGGAACCAGTTCCACACAGGCTCAGCTCTGACCCTGCCCAGAGCAAACAGCCCTGGCTGACTGCACAGAGAGCAGCTCAAATGTCTGTATGTTCATGCTCTACACAGTCCCTGAGGGCACTCGAGAGCTGACCACGCACAACAACGTGTAAAACAACAGCCTCAACAGAGCTCACAGTTCTCTGTGATCTTTAATGACATCTGAACACACCACTCTGTGCCAGTGACTCTCTGCCTCACCATTTCACTGCAAAACAAGTCCCAATTGACGTGATTTTCCAGCTGTACAAATACAACCATCCTGGAACACAAGTGCAGATCATCTGACAACAGAGCTGCCTACACATTGCTCTAGGCAGACACACGGGAGAGGCTTCCTAGAAAGAAGTCTGCCAGTCCAGGTGTGCTTCTCAGGAATATTTTGGCTTACCTCCTGGATGTGTTGCTCCAAATGACTGATCAATTTGTTCTATGGTAGGAGCAATTGCCTGAGAGTTAAAATGGACACCACTGAAAAAGGAAACAAAATGAATCTGAACGGATTCTACAAACATTTATTCACAGTAATACCACATTTAAGCTGTATGAAGTCTCCAAGACTGAAGGAAAGAGTAAACTGCTAATTCGATCAAGTGCTATGTTCAGGAAATTATAATTATGCAAACTCCTTTATGACAGCTATTTGGGTTTTATGAAAAGAATAACTGAAAAAAATGAATGCAGAATTTTTAAAATTGAGCCTAACCAAGAAATCATGCGAGGTCTTAAATCACTTACCAATATTTTAACTTCACCTTAGTCAAGTCATAAACTTCAATCACCTGAAACACAGGAAACAGAAACATTACCATACTTCACACATTTGCACCATCATTACAGAGGCAAATTCTTGTCCAAAGGCAAGACTAGCCAATAGTGCTCAGTCCCCTCACAGAATTTTGCCAGGATAAATCACACTGTCAGTGATCAACCACGAACACTGACTCAGCAACTGCACATGTGACCCGAGTGCTGAACAGCTCTGGGCTCAGCACAGAACCCCCATGTCCCACACACACAGCACTGCCTGCAGGAACCACAACTTCACCCACACATCAGCATCCTGCTCTCTGCTGAATTTACTCTCACCCAAATTCAAAGAGAGGCAATAGCAAGAATCAGCTAATTAGGGAATCCTCTAATGAATGTGGAAGAGCAGGCCATTCCCTGGGCTGCCCTGAAGAGGGCCTGGGCAGGACACCAGGTGCTAACATTGACTGCACTGTTCCAACCTTCCAGCTCCTCCTGAAGTGGAACATGCACACAGGACTGAGCAGTCATATCCCATTCCAGTTCTACATGAAAAGACATCTTGCCATCTCACCACGAGTTACAGAAGACAATCAGAAGAGCAGCCCACAAAGAATCAGAGCAAGCCAACACACCTAGTTCTGGTATTTATGGAAGGTTTTAGACCTTACTGAGTATTCCAAGGTCCAGATCCCTTGTTCTGAATACACCATCGTGAACACGCCCCTGACACTGATTTCACTGGGGTTTATGTGACTGTTACTGGATTTTGAGGCTACCCTGGGCTTTAAGCAGATCATTTTTGGCAAGTAACCATGGACAAATGCAAGCTTCTTCCACTCTACATATGCATTCCCGTGTCAGCAGGAAAAGCAAACACATACAGCACATCATAACTGCTGTAAAGAAAAAGTAAAGCACTTTTTATTGTTTTTTATAATCCTCCAACAAATCATTAGCAGATTTAGAGAGGACTCACTCTCTAGCTAAAGAATAAAGCAGTATTTCCCAAGGAGCTTGCTACCAAATGTGGCTTTAAAGCCTAAAAATATCACCAGCTAAGAAGGAAGTCTTGGTTTTGGGAGATGCCCAGTAAATAACCCTAAATAAAACAACTTGCCATGTTTAAACCACTGTATCTATATATATTTAGAAAAAAAAATAAATCAACATTTAATGGCATTTCAGAATATAATCAACAAGTAGAGCACAAAGCAAGTAACAAATTAACATTCTCTCAGAACCAACGTCAAAGAGAAAACAAATTTTTCTTCTCAACAAAATACCCTTGGAATTGTGCTTCTTGGAAAAACCTGGTTATCTGGTATTTTAATTCAAATCCAGTTTGACATGTCCAGGTTTCCTTTCCTGCACAGCCCGTTAAAAAACAAAGGCTACTTTTACGAAAAGCTCGGAACAGCAACAACAGCAACAGCACTAAAAACAGTTTTCTAAGTTACAGAGGCCACACTGGCAAAAGGATTAACGTGATTCCACGGGCAGAGAACAAACCCTGAGAAGACCAAGGACTGTTCAGTGCTGGGTTTACTAAACAGCCAGAAGGCAGCTGGTTTAAATGAATCAAGCCTGACGTTTCATCACACTCCCTGTGCTGACAATCCCTGCCAAGACTCAGAATGTTCAGGTGTCTCCTGAGCAGCAGGAGCAGATGGACACTGTGAAATCTAAACTCTTCCCATCACTGAGGGAGCATGTGGGAGAGACCCTGATGCTGAAATTCAGAGGAATGTTGTCAGACTTGGTCCTGGATGTACCAGTTCACACTAGCCCACATCAGTAACAACTCCTGTGCCATGCTCTGGCTGCTGAAGGTGAGTTGAGAGACTGTGCACAGGTTGTTCCCCACTCCCCAAAAAAGGAAGGAATTCTTTAGGAATACCGCTTTGACTTTATTCCTGCACCAGCTTCCTTGGACCTATCAATACTTTCCATTTTAGCAGCCTGTACCTCAATCTCTTTCCACTGTCAAATCTAACAGCAACTGTGTATTAAAAGCAAACACATAAAAGAGAAAAAAAAAAAAAAAGGCCTCCTGATTTTTCCAGTTTTGCTGCTGCTGAGCAACACTGAAAACAGTCACACCATCTTAAAAACAGCCCTTCCTTACCCTACACCTACACTATCCTTTAGCAAGCCCTGTGGCTCACTGCTGAACTGATCCCACTGGGTTCCTTCTATCAATCAAGCTTTCTGGACACTCTTACAAAGTTTTCATAGCACTGTATGCATTTACACAGCCTGACTTTCCACAGTTCAAACAAACAAGAGGTATCACTAGGCCACTGAACCATAACATACCAGAAGAGATTGGTTTTCCTGTACTTTTTATTTTTGAAACAAACCTAAAAATACATACCAGAAGAATTTGAGTTTTATATTTTTAGTTTAAAAAACATTTTTTAAAACGTTATGGAGAAAGACATGAAAAGCTCTTGCTTAGTTTCAACACGGAGTGCTGAAATGGCAAAATCAGACCCTCAAAAACTGGAGGTGAAGAGACAAGGCATACACTAGTGACAGCATTTCAAAAACACCACAGGACTGTAACATTCCCAAAAAAGTCAGTAAGCAAGTCATGGACCTGAAATGGTTATGCCAGTTCTGAGCTCAGTCTCCTTCAGAATTAAACATAATTGGAAAGATTATCAGTGTAAGCTACACCTGCTGTACTATATATATATATATATATATATATATATATATAAAACAAATTAAATGTCTGAAAGAGCCACATAGTTATGCTGTATTAAGTGCCAATATAGCCTAGAAGTTTTGGTTTGCATTGTCTCTCTGCACAAAGGGTGTTTCATTACCTTAAGTCTCTGATTGAAAGCATCAAACAGCAGTTTGATTCCATCCTGAGTCAGGTTAAGGATGAGGTCATGGCTAAGAGGGGACTGTAAAACAAAAAAAAAAAGCTGTTAGGTTTCTAATTGTAAGGTTTCTTTGTTTAGATATATATCACTGTAAAAGTATAAATGGGGTACTTTGGAAAAACAAAAGTGCCTCAGAAAAGCAGCACTTACTCAACAAATAAGCACAACTAAAATACATTTGGCCAAACCTCTCAACCCCTTCCGTTTCCTTCTGAAACAGAAACAGCAGTGCCCGAGCGAGGTCTGCACCCTGCAAGAACTCCCAAGGGTAGTCTGGCCATTACTTCCAGTGGGGGAAACCCAAAAACCTCAAAACAAAACAATCCCCACCCCCCCATTAAAAAAAACCCCAACACCCTGGAAATGAACATTCCCACTTTAGCATCAGAGACACCACGCAGGGAATCTGCTGCTTTCCTGGCACACAAAAATAACAGCCCACCTCACCAAGTCTCACCTCAGAGCCAAGGGTGTGCTTGACAGAGAGATGGTGAGAGGGCTTTGCACTTCAAAAACCAAACTATCACAGTCTTTTTCAGGCCTGGAAAGGAAGCCTTCAGGCTCTTCGGTTGTGAATTTAGGTTTCCTTAGTTACTGTGAATCATAACAACTGAAGGCTTAATTTGCAGTCTGCTGGAGTCAATAGGAGACATTCCATGGCTCTGCTGGTGTCTGTAAGGGCTCTGCACCCTCTCAGTGTGTGCCTGCTCACTGCTGGAGCAGTGCAGTCCAACAGGCAGCTGACCCAGCTCAGCTGTTTGATCACGTACCATCTGAAGCACATTTGCCTCAACAGCTCTGCCCTCCCCAGCAGCCTCCTCAGAGGAGAAAGAGGGCTGAATGACACGCAGGCAGCAACATTCACGCCCTACAACTGCACCCAGCAGTTCTGCAGCAAAAGACAGAATGGGGATGGGACATCTGGGGCACACAAAGGCTTCTACAGTGGCAGGCACACCCTTGTATGAATTAAGCATTAGCTACCTTATTTTGCTCTACCAGGAGAGGCTCTGTCAGAAGTCCAATTTTCATCCTACATTCTCTCACCTCTTTGTTCTCACATCAGCACTATCTTCCAGCCTGAATCATTCTGAGCATTTTCACGTGCATCTCCCACCCCTTCCCACACTATACACTCAAGGAAACAGATCCCAGACTCCACACCACGAGGTCAAAACAAGCCACGGGGCTTTCCATCCCCTGTGATGCAGATTTCCCATTCCCCTTGATCTCTGCAGCAGCTCTTCCTGAAGCTGGATCAGTTTGAGCTCGTCCTTCTCAAACCCCACTGATCTGGCCTGTAAACTGTCTCCTAAGGGAAGCTTCCCCAGCACTTTGCACAGTGGCATCAGCCACTCCTGCTGGCAAACTCCGGTGCTGCTGGGCACAACTGAGGCAGCACTGAACTGAACCACAAGCTTGAGATAGAAAGATCTAATGTGGATCCTGACAGTCTCTTTTAAATGCCTTATAAATCTAATTTAGAAAGGCTACAGATAGGTAAAAAAACCTTTGGAATGTTGCATTCTGACACACCAGCAGAGCTGTTCTGACATAGGACACGCTCTGCATTTCACTGGTTCCTAAGCAAAATTTTCATGAGGTTATTCCAAAATTAACGAGAGCATTACAAGTACTTTTGAGTGGGTGGAAAAAAAACAAAACCCAAACATCTAAGGAAAAGCTTGATAATTAGTACAGTAAAGCTCTTCTGTTCTATGCTGGCACATTTTCTAATAAAAGAAAAAGTTTCAAGGGTGCAAATTTAGTTCATGTGATTTCCAGTACACAAAATAGAGGCTCAAGTATGGAAGATGACGCCAAGAAGCAACAGGAGGGTCCTTCCTGAAGGAAGCACTGCAGATGTGCAGTTACACTGCTAATCTACATAAGGATGCAGGAAAAACTGTTATCACTGAACAATCCCATCAACACAAATCCAGAGGAAGCAGCCTAGGAAAACAAACAAAGGCAATTAAGTGCCCTGCTTAAACTGACCAAAAAGGAGTTACAATTCTTTTATTCACAGAAAAGGATTCATCAAGCTTTTCTGGCACAGTTTGGGCATCCCATTTACATCAAGTGATAGAGAGCACTGTGGGCAGATCTAATTGCGGTTTAATTGCCATATAAATTTTTGAAAGGAAATACTCACTGCTGGAGTTCCAGGATCAGAAATGCAGTGCTTTGGGTGCCACAGCTTTAAATAACACTTGATCACCACGCTCCAAGGCATTCTTTTACAAAGCAAAGAGCAAAGGCACGAAGGCTGTTCAGGTACGGTTTAGCCAGACAGAAGCTGAGCATGGGGAAGTTTATTTAAGGCTGGGAATCTTCTGAGAACTGAGCTCTTTGTGCTCAGCTGCTAATGAGGGGCACGATGCTCTGCACGAGGGCAAGGACAGAGCCAGATAATCAAATGCAGGCCCCGAGGGGCGTGTGGAGAAAATGGCACCAATGGCAGGCACTGAATTGCAATAAAAGACAGAAAAAATATAATGGGCTCAACTATTGCAGGCAGCTGAGAGCTACTGTTTTGTTGGACTACGCAGATGTTAAAAACATCTTTACCTTCATTACAGTTTGGGGAAAAAAGCCCTAAACCTGCCCTCTGCAGACAGAATAGAAGTTCAGTGTACACAGTCCAGCACGAAGTATCTGCCCAGGAGGTGTGAGCAGCCAAGCACTGGCACACCTTGCTTTCCAGCACTGGGCCACTCATCCTGCTGTGCCTCCACCAATCTGAGTGCAACAGCAATCTCATCACTTTCCTAAACAAACCCAGAAATAATTCCAATGCACTGTGGTAGGAAAAACTAAAAGCCTCCAAAGAATACAGAAAACAAGGAATGCATTCACTGCCAGACAGATGCTCCCATGCATTAAGTACAAGGAGCCAGATTTTCCATTTGCCATTCAGTCAGCACAAAACCCATAAATCTACGTAATGTGAAACAAAAAAAGGATAATTCCTTTAATAATATGAAATAAATATGCAGCAGTGAACAGAGTCCACGTTGTTCTCAGCCATTCCATATTCCCTGGGAGCACAGAGGCCTCAATCTGTATTTTGATACAAACTGACATTCTACCACAGTCTGCCCTTTTCTGATGCCAATATGTTATTTGCAACATATGAATATCATCTTCTGATCAGTGTGCATTTCACATAAAATACATCTGGAGAGTCCCAATCCTCCTTTGCCCCATCTCCTCTTCCTAAAGGTGGGTGTATAACCCATTTTACCTGATCTAGCAGAGAGGTTTTACTTCTGGTCCCCTTTTTGAAGGAAGTCAAACATATTAGGAACTTAATGCTTCCTTATGAAGGATGATGAAAACATCTAGAGCTGGTTTAAACCATTGCATCCACTTTCTCCAGACAAAACTGCAGATGCAGCAAGAAGGTGTGGAAGCCTTTTGGGGGGTTCACCACCACTGAACCAAACACCAAAGCAGGATGTAATGAGTGATTCAGTTCTTTAAAATGCTGCAACACTCAACAGTGATAAAGTAAATAGACCAGAATTAAATTATCCAGCTAATTACATGACATTTCAATTCTTAAAGGAAAAGCAGAGCTATCCCACCACTGCACGTACAGAACTGACAGCTGTTCAGTCACTGGTGAGGATTATTACCCTTAAACTGCTACAAAAGCTCCATCTCTGATGCCGTGGCCACAGTCTGGTGTGATTCAACCTCAAGTAGCCCCACAACTCCCACAACACATCCATGCCTTAATTCTGGGACACAAGGAGGTGCCTTTCCTGGGCAGCCCACGCAGCACTCACCTGCTCACTGTAGAGGACCTGGACGTTTTTGATGATGCGACAGTGCTTCTGGAGAATTGCTACAGCCTGAGCCAAAGGCATTCCTGGAAATGAAAACAGTGGGATTTCTTCAGCACAGACACCAGGAACAGGGGCTCTAACAGCAAGGTTATAAACCCCCAGGAGCACACAGTGCCTTACACACAGAGAGGTGTGCAGTCCATAAACAAGCCCATGGCAGTCATGGGAGCAGCACAGCCCCGGTGCTTTCAAACTGAACAGTCACTGTTTGCCCACCAGTTTGTTAGGCAGACATGGAAAAAGTACCTCTAGACAAAATTAAACAGCAAAGTTCAGGAAGATCTCTCGAGCAGCCAGGCACAGACCTTTGTGGGGTAACCAAGGCAATAACTGGTAACACAGCCTGTCTCAGACTGCACCCCTGAACACATCCAGGAGGCTCCCAGACAGCATTTATGGCACACACTTTTTATTAACCTTGATAAAGCACTGAGTATTTGCACAAGATAGACACGAGCAGTAAAACAGCAAGGATTCTCCTCAGCCCTAAAAGGCCACATTAGCTGCTGATATGGCCATATTTGTGTCAAGGAAGAAACTTTATCTTCTCAGTTTACAGACAAGATAAACACACTAAACAATTCGATTCAATTCAAGTAATACACTTCAATTCACCCTCCCATACATTTTCAAGGGCTTTTTTTTTCTCCCCTTCAGTGTATATCTTATCTTAACAGTTATAAATTTATGAAAGTGCAATGAAACAGCTGATTCTGCAGAAAGAATAGCACACCACACCATCTCATCCTTTATCACACTTGAAACCTTTGTTGCCTTTCCAGATGAAATGTGGTCACCTTCCTGGATTCAAAGCAGGCATTTATGAGGAGGTTACGAGCTCCTAATCGTGAAGTTTTGTTCTCCTACTAATTGCTGCCAGTCAATTTAGATTGGTTATCTGACATTTCATTTCCATTCCCTGCCCTGTTCTTTTGTATTTCCAGTTTTTAAATCTCAAGAAAGTTGCCTGGATTAGGGAAAATTCACCTCGGAAATGACACTTTTATTCCATTCAAACTTTCAGTTCTGGCTACGCCTCTCAGACTGTACATCATGTTCCAAAGGACCTTCTGGACTCTAGCTACAGTATCAAAGGGAGAAAATTCCTTCTCTCTTTCCAGAAATATCTGCACATCACACACACGCCTGGCTCACCACAGGCACTGCTTTGAAGTGCTCAGCACTAAAAACCCCCAGAGCATCAGTCTGCTGTGCCCATCAGTGCAGCTCTCCTCCAGTTATCAGACCTGGTTTGGGCAGAGCAGATGTACAGCTCAGAACTGCAGAGATCCAACCTCTAAATACCATCTCCAAATGGGTCCGTGAGACTGGTTTTCTCCTCAGCCCATAATCCTGGAGACAATTTGTTTCGCAGCTAGGAATTACACATCAGTACATGATATAATATAAAAGAGTTATTATTTTAATGACAGTAATACAATTAAACAGAGACGCACAATAAAGCAGCACTGTTTCCTATTATCTAGGAAATAGCAGTTGTCTTGTAGTCTAAGCAGCTGAGTTTTAAGATGACAGTTATTATGTCTTAGATAATATTTTCAAAATGGAACAGAAACATGAATTAGAGCAAGAAGCTGGGATCAAAGATGCTGCCGTACAAGTTGCACATTTCTTAACCTAGTAAAAAGTATGATTCAAAAATATAAGTAAAGATGATTTAAACCACCAAACCCATTTCCTAAGGCAGTATTCATATGAGGCTCTGCTTTAAAAACCAAACAAGTGGCAGAGGCTGAAGCAAAGGCTGTGAGCGAGCTGACAGAGCCCAGACAGCGATGGCAGTGCCTGCAGCAGGTTAAGGTTTCAGTAAAAAAGCACTTGGCTAACAAAGTGCACAGAAACACCAAGCTGGGTGTGTGGCCCCATGTCAACTGATGCAATCCTGGGCTGGTAAGTGTGCAAACACACGGCTCATGTGACTCTCTTACTCACAGCTTTCTCAGCAAACGCACATGGCCTGACTTTGTTCAGTTTTCAGCAGCCAGATTTTGGCACACACAGCTGCTCAGCAAAGCTACAGAGAGCAACCAGCTCCTCCCAGGACAGCTCACAGAACCTACAGACACGTGTGGAAGAGCCAGCATCCTCCCTCTGCCTCCAGCAGCAGAAAGCCAAAGGAGGAGCACAAAAATGAGTTATTTTTCTCCGGCCTTCTCATGGACAACACCCCCTTCTCCTCACCATTCGTCAGCCTTTGCAGGCCAAGAGGAAAACAAAGAATTCTTTCTCCCCTGCTCACCAGCCAGGGGGAACGGGGAAGCAAACGTGGCTTCCACTCAACCAAGCTGAGCCAGGGACACCCCCAAAGCCCAGAGCTGGGGCTGCCCTGTCACCACCTCCCCCTTTCCAACTGCAGCCAGACCCTCCTGTCCCCAGCACTGCCCAGGGACAGCACAGCTGCAAACAGCAGCCTGGGCCAGGACTGGGTGTCCTGGAGGGGCAGGGAGGGCTGAGAAGTGAATAAAGATTAGGAGAATAAAAGAAAATCTAGGGTGAATCATGAGGCATTCAGTAAAGATATGTGAAACTCAGCAGGAAAACATAAAAAGCGAGAGAAATGCAAGTGTGCCTTAGAAATGACCCGTCTCAAACACTAATAACACAGCTACAGGTGCTCCAGAACGAGCATTTAATTGTCCTCCTTTGAAATGGCAGGAATACAGCCCGAGACTGCAGTGACACAGGTATCTAAACTCAGCCCTGCAGTGACACAGGTATCTAAACTCAGCCTTGGTTCAGTTTTTTCTGCTCTAGTCACACAGTGAGTCAACACTGGAGCCAGAAACAGAATCCAAGAACTCATGTACAAAATTTTCCTGGCATTTCCCCTCAGTCATCCCCATTGTGGGCACAATAGTGGGAGCCAGAGTCAGCAGCAGTTCAGGAATACTGCCATTAGTTCTGCTAAGAGCAGAGCTAAACAAACCGTGAGCAGGACACCGCTGGCAGCAGGAATCCCATTTACAGCAGCTCCCAACCCCACTGCCACCAGCACAGCTGAGCCAGGACAGGACAGTCCTCACACAACATCCCTGGTGCAGGGCAAACTTAAGTATCTTAATACCCAGTCAGGCCCCTGCTCTGCCCCAGCAGGTCATGCTAATTATACACTGGACACATCACGTGGTGGCTCTGTTTACTCCAAGGAATACAGCTGAGCTTCCTCCTTCTCCCATCTCATGTGTGTGTGTGCACAGGCACTCACACAGCACACAGTCTGAACCAGGAGACTGCACTAACAGGCCTCCTTGGGGGTTCCTGGGAAAATGAAAACCACCTTCTCTTCCCTTTCCTTGTCTTTGTAGGGGGGATGGGGGGCAGCTGGTACTCTGGATTTGTGAAGATTGCCAGGCTGCAGAGTTGGAGATTGCTTTTCCCAGGTAACACAGGCTCTAAAGGGGGCAGAAGGTCACCCAGGGCTGAGAGCACAGCACAGGTTGGCACTACAGGGAGATCACCAAGGTTTTCCAGGCTGGGACCTGAGGAGCTATAATTAGCCTGCAACAGCCATTCCAACTGCCTGCAACCATCAGGCTGGGCTTGACTGTGCAGCCACAGCAGCATAAACAGCCCTTTGTGTCCGATGGCTTCCATATAAACAACCCCAGTGCTTTGGTGTGTCCCCGGCTGGGTGTGCAACGGGGTTTTTAGGAACGGCCTGTCCCTGCTGTCACAGCTGACAGCAACAGCCCCAGCGCAGGCACACACAGGGCTGACACACAGGGCCTGTTTACACCTGCCAGACTCATGAACTGTCCTTCACAAACCCACAGCACAGGGGAGAACGGAGAGCGAGAGCCCAGCACCGGCACCTCACGCAGCCACTCAGGACACGGGACACCCACGGCACTTTCTGAGAGGCTGTAGACTCCACTGCCCGCTGGAGAACACAAATCACCCGAGGAACCCACCCACCCGAGCCCCCACTGCACCTCTGAGTGCCGGGCTGAGCACCACCCGAATGTCCCGGGGGAGTTCCCTCGGGGGCAGGGAACAGGGACTGCCAGGAGGGACTGACTGCTCAGTGACACCACAGAGACAATCGGCTCCTTAGCTGACCCCGAGAGAACAGCTCACAAGTTTACTTTCCGCACTGTGTCGCAACCCAGCAGCAAAACAAAGAAGTTGTGAAACTCGGCTCGCGTTTCTGCGGGGTCTGTGTGGAAAAGCACAGCGTTTGAGCTCAGCACCAGTGACAGGGGAGGCTGCCGGGATCACCCGGGCTGTGCTCAGGTGACACTCGGCACGGCCACGCTTCCCCTTTCGGGAGTTAATTTACAAAAATTACCAGCCCAAAAAGGCCAAGCCAAAACAAGGCAAAAGAGCAGGAGCGAGCGCACAGCTGATAAACAAAGCACGACGGGCGTGCGAGAGCCAGACACGACACCAAACCCTGCGGGGAACCCTCGGAGCTCGGAAAAAGGGACTTTAGCGACAGGCGAGGCTGAGGGGAAAGAGCCAAAGCTTTGTCCCTCGAGGAGCGGCGAAGGCCGTGAGGGCCCCGGGCCGTGCCAGGGGCAGGGGCCGCACTTACCTAAGGTGAACTCCCATTGCTCGTTCCCCAGAGAGCGCTCGGGCACCACCTCCAGATCGAGCATTGGCTCCGGTCGCGGGGCCGCGGGGTCGCTCGGCGGCTCGGGGGGCAGCGCCGGACCCTGCGGAGGGAGCGGGAGGGCAGCGGGGTTGGCCGGGGGGTCCCGCGGCCCCAGACCCAGCCCCGGCCCCGCCGGCAGCGCCGCCGCCGCCGCAGCACCCCCCGGCCGCCCCTCCCCGGGGCGCGGGGCAGGGCCAGGGCCGCGTCCGCCCGTCCCGATCCTTCCCTTCCCCTCCCGTCCCGTCCCGATCCTTCCCGTCCCTTCCCGCCCGTCCCGTCTGAGGGGCCGGGGGGGCTCCGACCCCCCCCCCCGCGCCGAGGGGCCGCCACTCACCTCACTTGCGGCTGCTGAAAAACTGCTTTGCAGCTGCCGTCAGGCGCGCCCGCGCGGGGGGCGGGGCCGGGGCGGGGCGGGGGCGGGGCCGGGCTTGGGGGAGCGGGGAGGGCGCCGGCTCGGGGACGGGCGGGCTGCGGGTTCGAGTCCCGGCCCCGGCCCCTCGGGCCGCAGCGCAAGGCCCGGCCGCCCCGGTGAGCTCGGAACTGAGGGAAGGACAAGCAGCTCGAACCAGCCCGGTTGCATCCAGTTTTTCCTGTCGAAGGGCCAGGGTGGCGACGAGCAGGGGTGAGGAGGAATTAGTCAGCGGCACGAGCAAAGTTAGGACGAGGATGGGAATGACTCAGTGAGGAAGAAAGCGGTAACGAGGTCACCGGCTCTGCGATGTGGTTGGAGCCACCCTAAGGAAGCCGGGTGTCCCTCGGGGTCAGGCTCACCTACCTCACTCACACCCCAAGACCCGAGGGGCAGAAGCGTCCACACAGCCCAGCACAAACTGAACTGCCCGGGATGTGCCACCCCTCGGACACTCCAGGGCAGCCCATCACCCATGGCTACAGTGGGAACTTGATCCGAGATGAAAGGCACCGTGGCTTTGGGCACTGCCCAAATAAGCAGAGAATTAAAAGTCACTGAGAAAACCCAAGGATACAGACGTGTGCCAGGCCCATGCGAAGCATCACTTTCTCTGGAGAAGGGCTGGGAAGCCAGGAGAGTGCAGTGGGTGTGGGAGCAGCTCCTGGTGCCAGGTCGATGCTCCAGGAGGGGCAGGGAGTGTTGGACCTGCATTTTTCCCATGTTTATTAGAGGGTGGCAGCAGAAAGCCTCTCCTTGGGTGATCCCCATCTCCTGTCCCCTCTCCCCTGCTGCATCCCTCGGGGGATGATGCTCAGTCCCAGCCTGACCCCACCATCCCTGTGCTGCCCACGTGCCCACAATGTCCCACAATGTCCCAGCGAGGCCAGCAGCAGCCCAGCCCCATCACAGGGAATATCCCCCAGCAAGACAGAAGACATCCACTGACAACTCCCACCAGCCACAGCCACAGAAGTTTGGGGATTTTAAAATTTTATAAAATTTAAACATTTAAAAATTTTACATTTTTAATATTTAAAAGAGGAAGAGTCAAACATTATTTCAGGTAGGTTTTCCACTACACCTCTTTCCCACAGGCACAGCAAGCCATTGCTGGCAGGGGGAATCAAAGGCTTAGAAAGAAACCCCAGTCACGTTTGGGAGCAGGACCTTGGCCAGGCTCTGCTCTGAACACCACGTTTCTCAGCATCTCTGTTCAGGTCACAGAGCTGTCAAAGCAGGTGAGATTTTAATGTATATGGCGTGGAGCAAGCCCCAGGGAAATCAGCTTTTCCTTGAAGTCAGCTGCACGTTGCTCTATTTATTATTCATGCCTTGCTTGCTTGTTTTTTTTTTAAAGGCAAACACGGTGACATCTTAATATGCTGAAAAGCACAGAGGTGCTGCCAATGTTTCCCCTTCGCTCCAGCCCTCTGACACATCTTTATTGGCTCCAAAAGAGAAATTAGCCTTTCCTCTCCCAGGAGCAGGGGCTAATCCTTATGAGTCACCCAGTATCTCCAAATCACGATATATATAAAATACAGATATGTAAATATACAATATTTACATGTTTATATATATATATATATTCACATAGTGACATCCATAAGGGCTGTGCTTGAGAGAATAACTATGCAGAGAAATCTGAACAGCCCAGTCATTTCCCAGGGCAGGAAGGACACGCAGCACCACTTTCCAGCAGGCCCAGGGCAGGGGCAGCCCTCAAGTCAGGATGGTGGATGGAGAACTGGTAAATGCCAGCCCCTTCCACCCCCCTGAGCTCAACCACAGCCCTGACACAGCCAGGAGGGCAGAGCGAGCACCAATGCCCACCTCTGAGACCAAAACCTCTCCTTCCCTGGGCAGAGGAAACCTCCCCCAGGCACCTGAGGCATCCTCCCTGCATTCCTGCAGGCTGGGCTGGGCCATGGCTTTTGCACAGCTGAGCCAGCAGTTATGAAAATTCCCGGCTCCTTCCAACACCTGTTCTGCCCCAAACCCAGCCAGGTGCCCGGGGACAGCGGGGGGTTCTCCCCTGGCAGCTCTGGGCACCTGCACTCGGGTGGGGAGCAGAGTTATCTGTGGGGTCTGGGATGGAGCCCCCTCTGCCTGCCCCCACAACAGAACAGAGTGCTGAGGGTCCTGAGCGGGGATCAGCGTGGGCAGCTGAAATCAAACCCCCAGAGTGACTGGAGAAGCCCCCCTGGCTCCCCAGCGACTCCAGGCAGGATGGCATTTTCCAGGTTGGGCAAAGCATCATCATTTGGGCAACCGCTTGTGACAGGCAAAAAATTAAATTTTAAAAGAATAAAATTACCCTCCTCGCTCTCCAGATTACGGAGCACTTCTTGGAAAATGCCCAAATTCAGCCCCAGGGCTTAGGAAGCAATGTGCAGCTTTCTGAAAATTGTAATCAATTTTTAAAGCCTGGCTCGGTTGTTAAACGCTTCTGACTGAAGGAACGGCAGTGGGTACATCCATCAGAGACAATCCAGGTTCCCAGCTTACTTAATTTTCCTAAATTCCACTCGTCTGCAGGTGGATGTCAGTAGAAAAGAGCCGGCGTGGGCAGGGTGCGGAGCCCAGCCCGCGGTGCCGGGCGGGCAGCGGGCAGGGGTGATGGGCATTCGGTCCTTCCCGGATCGGTCAGCACAGAGCCACCGGCGTCAGCAGCTGCTGCCAGGGGGCCGTCTGTCCTTCCAGAGAGCCCCTGGCCACTGCACCCTCCCTTTGGCTGCTGCCCAGCCAGGTGCTTGGGGTTTTAACTGTGCTTCGAAAACTCGTGGGAAAATTCACCCTGGGGCAAAGCAGGGGGATTCTGTAAAGATAAAATAATTTAAAGCACAGATTTTAGGAAAAAAAAGTAACAGATGGATTTGGGGATTCTATAGAATCCTATATAGAATCCTATATAATCCCCAAATGCCTTATTCCGAGGGTTTCTGGAGCCAGGAGTGCTGCATGGGTGGCAGGGCTTCCACAGGCTGAGTTGCGCCTCCTGAGACGTTTCCAAAGTGGATGTCTGAGTGTCAGAGCAGACGATGAGGAAGGGCCGTGGGGCAGAGTGCATGAGGAGGGGGCAGAGGGGTCAGCCCTCACCCCAGCCTGCTCCAGCCCTGGTGCTCGGGGGGTGTCGTTTAACGGGAGATGAGTCAGAGCTGCAGGGTCCCTCTCAGAGCCCCTGAAGATCTCTGGCTGCCCGCTTTGTCACTGCCTTCTGGTGAACGAGCAGTGTGGGAGTGCCTGGAACCTCGGGCTGGGATGGGCAGAACCAACAAGAGAGATGCCCGAGGTTCCTCGTCCCCGTGTGGTGCCCCTGGTCCTGCTGGCCCCTCCTGCCCTGGGTGCAGAGCAGAGGGTGCTGGAGGTCGAAGGAGACGGTGACTCAGGCACCTTGTGGGCGGTGGCGGTTTCAGAGAGTCACGCAGCCCCCAGGACCACCAGCCCCAGGTCCCAGTCACACACCAGCCGTGCCTGCACAGCAGAACTGAAAGCAGAACCAAAAAGAGGATCTGTCCTCTGCTCTGTGTGGGAGCATCCGCAGAGCAGCTCCGGGCTGGGGCCGTCACTGCCAGGAAAGCACTCGGGGACTCCTCA